GACGTATAGCCGACCAAAATATATCCCGAGATGGCGTATGCATGTCCGTATGCATAGCGTATATCTATCCGCGCGCGCGTGCGTGCGTGCGTGTGTGTGTGTGCGCGCGCGCGTGTGTGTGCGCGTGCGCGCGTGCGTGCATGTGTGTGTGCGTGCAGCGCCGGTGCTCGGCAGTATTAGAGAGCTAATGAGTCGTCGCTGCCGATGTTTTTATCTCGGCAAATCGCCGATTAGGCTGCCTTTATTAATCGCTGACATTCGGCAGGAAGGATGTAGGCTGACTATACAAACCTAGGGAGGCGTAGGGTAATGACGCACTGTATACGAGTATATGTGATATACATTTATATGTTTTCATACATATAATAGGCCTACTCGTATAAATTCGATACCCTAAACCGCTATATAATATATCTACATGTATATATATATGTCACCTATGTCACAGGTTTGGAGAGGAAGACGTTTGACAACAAGGCGTACACATACGAGGACCACGTTCAGTACGAACACAACATGTGGCACTACCTGTTCTTCATAGTCCTGCTCAAGGTGAAGGACAAGACAGAGTTCACGGGACCGGAGAGTTATGTGTACGGCATGATCAAGGTATTATTAGGCCCATGATTAGGCCCATCTATAACATCAGGAGAACATACATTATATCAGGAGTCTATCAATATTGATAGACTTTCTCTATCAATATCTTCTATATCAATTCTCAATATCAATTCTATATCAATTCTCAATATCAATAGAATATCTCTATTGATAGACTCCTGATTATATACATACACATGTATATTGTTGCAGGAGAGTAACTTAGACTGGTTCCCGCGCATGCGTGCAATGTCGCTCGTCTATAACATACATTATATATACATACACATGTATATTGTTGCAGGAGAGTAACTTAGACTGGTTCCCGCGCATGCGTGCTAAGCGAGGACATGAAATGTACACGGTCTATTAATTCACGATAGCTGTAACTTCATAGTTATAACCTCGTAGTTATAACCTCATGGCTACAACCCCATGGCTATAACCACATAGCTACAACCCCAAAAGTTCTAACCGCATACCCTCAGAGCTATAACCTCATAGCTACAACCCCATAGTTATAACCTCATAACCTCCTGGCTATAATCTCATAGCCATAACCTCATAGCTATAACCTCTTATAGCTATAACATTATAGTTATAATCCCATGGCTACAACCCCATAGCCATCGCATCACAGATATAAATTAATGTCGTAGCTATGACCTCATGGCATGACTGGAATCGATGTAAATTTGCCAGCGAGTAGGGTAGGATACCCGTAGCCAGGGGGGGTTCGGGGGGTTCGCACGACCCCCCCCCCCCGAGCCCCCCCGAGCAAAAAAATTATAATTTGCAAGAATTTCACCTCAGGTATGCACCAGATCGCTCCATTTTAGTGTAATAATTGCAAAATCTCCATCTTGTGCGAGGGGGGACACCCCCTCCCACACCCTTCCCCTGCTTGGTCGCTATGCTCCCTCGCTCAGTCGCTTCGCGCCCTCACAAATTGCCAACATTTAAAAACGAACCCCCCCCCAATATAAAGCTGGCTACGGGCCTGGGAATATAGTTAATTACAGATTTGCGCCTTTATCTTTTATAAGACTATAAATCATTATGCCGTAAATAATATAAATTAATATCAATTCATTTACTTTACATTTGTCTGACACAATCACACATTCGCCTCATTGATTTTTAAAAGTAGTTGTTATGATTGTATTGGTCGGTTGAGTAACATCCTGCATTCAAATTATTCCCAACGTGTTCAGCCTACTATGCACGTTGCTGTAAGTATTGCCTGTATTGTGATCACTGATTGTGTGTATTGTATTTTTATTTTTATTTTGATCGACGCTCTTATGCATGCAATGATATTGACAATGACATTTAATCGCGTCTCTTATTGATCAAAATATTAATATTTAAGATTTTATTTAACGATGACTTGTAATTTTTGTTGAATGTTCGATTGGCGATATAATCCACGATTCTATATAATATTTGAACTGATGAAGGGTTTCATAATTTAACAGATATTTAGTATATCAGGGGTAGAATATCAGGGCGCAAACTAATTCAAGTTAATCATTATAATAGTTCCATGTTTTAACCGTAGGTGTCGCCACGGATCAATGTTTCGACCGGGTTTTTTGACACTGGAGCATAATTTTTTAAATGTAATATGAACCTATGAACCCAATGACTGAGGTGACCGATTCTATTATTTCTGCGCTATGCTGGGGGGGAAGAGTTCAACTGCAAACAACTCGCGGGGTTGTTGTGTGCGCGCGAGATACATTTGTGTACGATGTTGCAGTGAGTGCCCACGGCCGCCGGGGTTACGGGTTTCATACGCGCCGCCCGCAATTAGTCTGCGCTTTAGTTACGAACACGAAAATGGCTACCCGCTCGAAAATTGAATTACGCTGGGGCGCAAATTCGCTCGTTCAACATCCGGCGGTGCAATCTCCCCCCCCCCCCCACCCCTCCCCCCGATACGAGCGACGAGCGAGCGTGTGCGAACCGCGGGCATCGCGCCTGCGCTGCTAATGCACGACTGACGACGGCTTGTGTGCGTGTAACCGCGTTAACGTTTTTCGCCGCCGCGGCCGCCGCGTGCGCGCAGGCCGCACGCCGTGTATCGTGTGATGTGACGCAGAACAATGAAGGCGGTGAGCGGGCGGGGTTCGGTGGGCGGCAGCGGCAGCGGCGGCACACTGCAGCGAGCGCTGTTAACCCGCCTGTTAGCCTGTTAACCCGCGAACGCCGCCGCGCTTACGTAAACCGATGTTACGATTGTATCGCGATAAAGGAAAATATGTATCGAGAAAGAAGCACGGTTTTCCGACGAGGGAGGGGGGGTAGATGGGTGGTATTCTGACAGAGATGTTGCGCTAGAGGCGTGTAGCGAGCTCTATCCGTGCTGCCTTGCGAGATAGACAGACGTTGCTAATACGAGGCAGCGGGAGCTGTGAACTACATGCATATGCTTGTGTAATAACGTGACATAACCGGTATTTGTGAATTTCGCCCCTTTTTTTAGTCGCCGTTCGAAGGCAGCCGTCCTGTACGCGCTAGCCGTGTCTGCATTTCACGCCGTGTTTGAACCCGGTGTTTGAGTCTGCCGTGGTTCATCGCAGCGCGTGATTCAGCTCACGCGTGATTCACGCTGGCGTCCTGGTTCGCATGCAAGCGCGCAAAACGTGATAACGTACAAACGCGCGAGGGGAAAAATCTTCTGCCACTATTTTACTGCGAACGCTTGGCGAAAAGTGCGGTATTATGATCTGTCATTGACGCCGTCTGACAGTTACGTGACCTGACGCCTGCATTTCAAAATTAAACAGGTTACAGCCTACAGTTTAATCGCGTAATGTCTGGACATTAACCCAGGGGATAGCATACGGTCCCATGTGAGGAGATCGTTGAATAGATTTTAATAATTACGGCCGTGTATACCTCGCAATGTTGATAATCATCCTACACGTCTAATCTAATTCGACATGAGAGATTTCGCTGACAGTCACGTGTAGAAAACTGTATAATTGAAGACGAACGAAATTGCAGTTGCTGTGAATGGATACCCGTAATAAACAGCTCGGTTGTTGATTGTTTGTAAACGTATCCTTACGCCGGCGGCGCATAGCATCATCGGAAAGGTTAAGTGAAATATCACGCGTCACTTATACACGCGCAGTATTTCGGTGTTGCATATAATTCGGGCACGATTTTATATAATGATCGGTGATGGTGTCTTTAGCGTTAGGGTTCATCGGCTGTTATCGGGCGGAATCTCATCCGCCCGCCCGCCGTGAGCGATGATAAGCACTTATAATTGCAGTGTATTTTTCCGCGAGTTCGAGTCTCGTGCTCTGCATGCACTCTCGGCCAGCGACACCGGCTAGCGTTCATCACGTATGCGGGGGGAAAATGAAGCATATATAGTTATAAAATATAGTTACATATATAGAGGAAGCAGCCATTAAACCACACGATGACGCCGAAGGTTTCATCGACGACGACGTTCGATCTCTACGTTATCTAACAATCTATAGTATTAATAATAATAATAATAATAATAATAATCGTAATAGTAATAGTAATATTAACACGGCTGAGTTTGTAACTGTGAAGTGGCGTAATTTGTACAGGCACGCGATGGGTACCTTCGAGCGGTGGCTACGTACCCGAAATATATACACCGTGCGCTGACCGCCGCCCCCACCCCTCGCTTGTCGCTTTCTCCCCCATTCTCTCTCCTTTCCTCTCGTTTGGATTACACATACTCGCGTATCTTGGGTCAGGTTTTGTAAACATCCCCCTCCGCTCGAGCGCCTGCGTTTTCTGTCATTCTCTTTCTTTCCTCTCGTGTGCGTTTTCTGTTAGTCCTCCCTCTTCCCCTATCTGATTTCTCGTCGCATGCTAGACACTTGTGAATCTCTGTCGGGGGGATTTGTCAATATCCCCCACGCGATTCTCCCACTCTCTCCTTATCTTCCTTACCTCTCTCGTGCGTTTTCTATCCCCTTCTCTATTCCTCTCCTCTTTTCTAGCCACATACTTACTTGCTAGGCGTTTAATTCGGGGTTTTTAAGTAACACGCACGCTTCCTCTCCCCTTCTCTCTGTGCCCGTCTCATCTCTCACTATCTCTCCTTTCTCGTGTCGCCACATGCTAGACAACTCACTTGAAAATCTCGGATCGGGGTTTTTAAGTACTCTCACGCCAATTCTTCCCCCATCTCTCGCTCTGTCCCTCTTCTCTACCCCTTCTCTCCTCTATCACCTCTCATCTCGCCCTCTAGCGCTCTCTGTCCCTCTCCTCTACTTCGCTCTCTAGACAACTTAGTTGCAAATCTCCGATCGGGATTTTTAAGTACCCCAGCGCACTTCTCTCCCTCTCTCGCTCTGTCCCTCTCCTCTACCCCTCTCCCTCTCTCTCTCCAGACAACTTACTTGCGAATCTCGGGTCGGGGTTTGCCGTGTACCATCCTGTCGACGAGTGTCGCACGGCGAGGCCCGTCGGGTCGCCGTAGTGCGACAGCTCGGCGCCGTTGCAGTACTGCGACGGAAACGACGAGTGATGCGACAGCTGCGGCACGTGCATGTGGTAGGGCGACGTGACGGGAACGTTCATGTTGTTCACGGTCAGCGACGACTGGTGCGGCTGGTGGGTGCTGGAGTTAATCGTCGGCCGGTAGTTTGGCATCAGCGGCGGGATCGCCGACTCGAACGTCTTGCGGTAGTTCTCCTCGGCGAGCGGGTTCAGTATATCGGTGACGGAGAACGGAGTATGCTTGGGGCTTAATGACATGGTCGTCCCTCCGTGAGGGTGAGGACGAATGTGTGCGAACGGTCTTCTTCGATGGCACTACACATGAAAGTGCTTCTCGGTCTTCAACAGCCACCTATCTCGCCAAGCACCTACTAGCGATAGGTATCTGCCATTCAGGCAGTGCACAAGTTAAGCACCTAGGCGAACCCTCGACGCATGCGCCAGTGCGCTCGTGCGGCCCGCTACATGCTCAAGAGCGCTCGCAGCCAGTCGCGAGGGTGGAGGTGTGGTAACAAACAAAACGGGCCAGCCCCGTCGCTCGATCGATTACTGAGCGATGTTCCAGCAGCCTATAACTTCGATAATCTGTTTGGCACCTTTTTAAAGCTGCTTTTGTGAGCGTAGGTGGGTGTACGTTTGTGTGGCTGAGTCTATCTGACAGACGGCCACGCTCGGACGCTCGAATGCCTGCGTCAGAACTCGTGACGTCACGCCGTTTACGATTGCAATGTATATGTAGATATAATTTGTAGAGATCGCAAAACCCGACGGTGTGTATTAAGCAGTTTAGATTAAGAGTTCATTTATGGCAGCTGCGCTATAAGTGATATTGGAGCGCTCATTGAAGCGCTATAATCAGACGAATTAAATCACATATGATGTCAATTCACATAAAATTTAAAAGAACAAGTGAATTCGATCAAAGTGAGGAAAATCTTTATTTGTGTTGTCGATAATATTTTATTGGGTTCAGTGTAAAGTTAAAAATAGGTAGAATATATAAATGACATAGTCGCCACTCCTTAGAAGAAAAAAAAGGGTAGAAGGAGGTGCAACAGAAAGGGGATAAAAAACAGGAGAGGTGATAGGAAGAAGATCGCGATAGGGAAAAACTCCTAAGAATGGTAAGGCAAGGAACATAACAATGTTGGTGTGACGAACTGAATGAGGGAAAGAACAAACAAAAACGGAGAGAAAATTTGGCGTACACGAGCAAAAACAATTCCTCGTTGAGGGAGGAGGTGTATATATAGCATCAAGAGTAGATAATAATGCCCCGTACATGTATGATGATTTCATCACATTATCGTCCACTAGTCAGAGAGTCTGCGTAATGTCACACTATTGTCTGCTAAGCTGTTGTACCGGGTGTCTGTCTACCTCGTCGTCCATGTTTAAAATAGTATGTCACAGACTCTTATACGTTGCAAACTTATATTGAACATCTTATTCCATCACTATACGATCGCTTCTTTCCGTACCTGTGATATTATACACGTTTTCTTTCACACGTTCCCTTGCTATCTTCGCCTAATAAATGCCTACTACTTAGCGCATTCGAGGTGACATTTCTAATTGATCTAATTTATAATAATTTAGGAATCGTTGCGAAAAGCACACCGGTAATCTGCGATATATATACTTGAGATAAACCGACGCCCTTCTGATCTTATACGAGATATTCAACCTTGCGTTACACAGCAACTGCATTCCTAATCCTTTAAATATTCTCGATGCCTAACACTGCCGTAGAGTCGTTATCGTCCAGATTAACTCATTATTTGGAGGGAAGCGATAACAAAGAGCTGCAGTTATTGCGCATGCGCGTGCTACAGTCGGCGCATTAGACGTTAGGGCTTAAAGCCGTAACGATTAGCTGAGAGAAAATCGTGGACCACGACTCACAGCCGATGTTTGCTTGGTAACGACGTATTGCGGTGTAAAGTGATTAAGCGCCCCCCCCCCCACACCACGAGTCCCTGTAAGGCGACTCATCGATAGGGATTCATTGACGTGCCCGTCACGTGCCGCTAACAACCTAACGCAAAGAGCTGCTCCGATTCTGAACAGCGAAGGCAGCAGCAGCGTAGTGCGTGTGCCATCGCACGCATATATTACTACGCTTCTATTGCCTATATACACCGATTACTGCATGTCTTGCGTAACGGAGACCTAATCGAACCATCGTGGTCTCTCTCTCTCTCTCTTCGCGCGCGCGTCTCTCTCTCTCTCTCTCTCTCTCTCTCTCTCTCTCTCTCTCTCTCTCTCTCTCTCTCTCTCTCTCTCTCTCTTGCTCTCCCTCTCGCTTACCCCCTCTCGCTTTCTCTGTTTCTAATGGCTATCGGCTTTACAACTTTGTTGTTTTGAATCAATAATTCCTCATTGCACAACGGAATACTTTGATAGTTGAGACGCCGATTCGCATTCCAAATAAACACGGCAAATTAAAGTCGCTAATCAGCGTGATTAACAAATTATACGTTTAACTTCCTACGGCGTCGCGCGTGCGTGCGACATTCGGGCGCAATCATTCACACAAAACCAAATGACATAATGAAATACTCCATTTGATCACTGAGGTAATTTGCGACGCTACGGGGCGCAGACGTATTCGCGTCGCACATTACGCCGCCGTCGGCGAGAAATCACCGATGACGGGACAATTTATCTGTCAACATCGATACTTCACCTGAAGAGGTTCTCTTGCAATATGAATGCGTTGCCGCGAAGCGTGAACAGCTAGGGCAGGAAAAGGGTTCAATTATGAATCAGCAGCGTAATAATTGTTCTCATCGCTTCTCCGCTTACATGTCAACCGCTGGCAATTACTCGACGCACGTGCGATGAATATCGCCGCTGCGGCGAATGCAGCGCAGCGCCATCTCGCGTCGTTTGTTGCGCGGCTGCCGTAAGACGGCGCTGCAAGCGCGGCACACCGACAATGAGGTGATATGCGTGATGAAGGGGAAGACAAGAACTGTTGGTTGAAGAAGGGTATGGTACCACCGACCGGGGCGCGTATGTGCGCTTGGACACATTCACAAGGGAGATGTAACAGAGGCAGCATAATTTACTTATTTATATAGCAGTAGGATCAAGCGAGAAACAAACAGACGGACAGACGGACCGACGGGGAGACAGGCAGGCAGACAGTCAGGTAGACAAAGAATCAGATGGATAGTTGAACAAGTAGATAGACTAGACAGCGAGACATTGATTGATCGAGAGAGAGAGCGAGAGAGCGTAAAAAATTAGAAATCTCGAGAGAGAAGGGGGAGAGCGAGGAAGAGAGAGATAGAGAGAGACATAGATAGAGAGAAGGACAAAAAGATGAACGGACGGACGGACGGACAGACGGACGGCCTGACAAATATATAACAGTGCAATGAGGCGTGTAGCCAGGCAGATGCCGCAAAGGTGATCGAACCAGTAAATGTGTGCGCGATTTGTCTAGACCGTGTATTGAAACGTGAATACACACGTACGAGTAGAGAAACAGATGCGAGCGCAAATAACAGACATTGCACTAAAAGGCACGCCGATGCGAGCACGCATGCTCGCGGATACACTTACTGTTGCAGGATGGGCGCGTGCGCGTGAGCACATGCACATACACACAACACACATACACATACACACACGCGCGTGCGCGCGCACACACACACGCACACGCACGCACACACGCGCCCGCACACACACACACACACACACACACACACACACACACACACACACACACACACACACACACACACACACAC